TAATATTGTATGGTTCGTATTATTATTTAACTTGTTTATTTTATTCTGTATTTTCATTTTTTAGTTGGAGCTTTCACTGTCAACGGACAACATAGATGTACAGAGGTGTTGGATCCAAATACTTGTACTCTTGGTGATTGTCGTGAGCAATGTTATGAAAAACACAAGGGCAATGGAATTTGTGAGCTTTCAAGTGATATGAGCCATTATGGTTGCGTTTGTATTTTTGACTGCTAACAAAATCTTAAGACAATAATATTACTTCTTCGGTGTTGAAAACCCCAATAGTTTATTGCTTTACACTGGAATTGCATATCTATTAAATACCACTTAAGTTATTGATCCTTTTAAATATATTCGCTGAATTCATTTCAGATTATTCTTCCATGGCTCCTTGGTGTCTTTCAAATGAGATGATAGGGTGAGAAGTAAGAGGTTCGACGATGATGGTGATGTCAAGTAAAAATTCATGGTGGAAGAGGATAAAAGGTCACTATCGAAGGGAAAATGTTAAGTACCAAAACAACCTTTAATATATAATTTTGAAACTAGCCTTTAATTTTATAGCAAATACATCTAATTGTAAAAAATAATGATGCATGTGAACTAAAATTGACCTATCAAAAAAAAGTATTTTTCTCTCCAACAAATCACACGGATGCAGACATATTAACCTTGACCTAATTTTTGTTTACAAGCCTCCCTGTTTCTCAAGACATGAAACGCCGCTCAGCTTCAGAAGCATCTTCCCTAAATCCTACTCACAAAAACCACTTGATCATCGAATCTCAACACCACCATCACCTCCGCCACCCTTCCTCACCGCAACAACACTTTTCAACCTACAGACTTGTCGTTGAACTCCATCGACGGATCTGTAAGCCACTACATTACCACATTTATTCCTCTTTCTATAACGTTCAAGAAACCTTAAGCTACCTGTGTATTATAACAACACAAATCACTCACCGCTTGCTGCCTTGAACACCATCGCGATTTTCCAATATCTCTCTCTAAAAGCCTTCAACATCGCCATCATCCTGACCTTAACCCTCGAGAAAAGCTTAAGGGTTGGTAAAAGCGTTAAAACACTAAATGGAAGAACGGGAGAACATTTTAAATCATAAACTTAGATTTTCCACTGTCGAACCATCTACTTTGAATGTTATATTTTGTGATTTTAAATGGTATGTTATGTTTCTTTTATAAATTCCCCAAGTTCTATGGCTTATGATTTTTCGTGGCTTATGCGATTCTGAGTATGTGAACGAATTCCAACTTCTTTGGTTTCTACGATAAAGGGTAATGTTTATTTTTTCTTTCCAGTTGCTGATGAAACCCATGCATAGCTTCTAATTGATCTTCGAGTTTGTTGTACGTTGCTTGACAATCCTTTTTTCTGATCGTTCTTCAATCACATTTGATTTAAAGCTTAACTTTAACCATTTCTTTATTGTTTCTTTATGGTTATTTGGAGGTCATGAAGTTCAAATTCTTTTATGTTGAGAGTCCGAATTACTGCGGAATTAGTGAATTATCAAATTAAAGGTACTATTTATTGATTCATTTTTCTGTTCTTATTTTACATTCTAATTTTTTTTCTATGTTAGATTTGACCACTAAGTTTTTTGTTGGTGTTAATTGGGTGCATGTATGGAAGCCTTGATGAGGTAAGACATCTAATTATTATTAAACTTTTATATTGATTTTTATGCGTGCAACCTTTTTATTTTTTCATAAATATGATCACTGAGTTTTCTATATTGAATTAAAGGTATGGAAGCCTGTATATTGGTAAATATGGTTTGGAAGTGCATGTATGAAAATAAGATTCCTTGGCTGTGATTGGCCGAAAATGTGACTGGTTTGGATGAATCATGCTTTATGGGTTAATCCACATAAAGAGTCAATACACTCGACTATTTATAACAACGCATCCAACTGAAAATCATATGAGAGATTGCTGAAATTATTATTTTTTAGGTTTAATTTCGTGTTTGTAATTGTTATCACTCCCACTGTCAGCTGAATAACAATCTTCTACTGTTTTTTAGATCTAGGTATGAAACATGTAACAAGAGGTTTTAAGTGTCTATTTTATTAGTATAAAATTGACACTTTTTTATTTAAACTTTTTGGAAGTTTTATGATCATTTGTTACGTTTATTAGTTCTAGAAAGAGTAAATGTTCATGGTTTGTTTCCTTTGTGTAATAGTTATAATAGATATGAAATGGTTATAGTTTTTATTAAAATGAATCATTTTTGAAGATTTTAAAGAAATAATAATGGCAACAACAATAACTAAAATCAAACCAAGAGCTGGACATAGAAACAATTAGTTCTCACAAAAACTAAAATCAAACCAAGAGCTTAATTAAAACAACAAAAAAGCACACATTGTGGCAGGAAACCTGAACAAACAGTCACCAAGAGAAACAGTGCACTTTTAAGAATTTGAAGAGATGATTTGATTAATTTAAGTTTAGCATAATTCGAACTAAACTATCTCCCTACTACCACAATAATTCGCATATCTCAGTATTCTTAATATCTTAGGAAAAAATTCAAAAATAAAATATAAAACTATATGAACTGAAATAGTTATAATGAAGACCAAAATCGATATTATTTTGATTTGAAAAAACTATATTTTTTATCATGTTTTTGTAAATAGACTAATATAATCAAGTCATAACACCAGAAAGGTAAAATAAGGTTGGAAAATGTACAAATAATCTTTTTTGGTGTGTGTGTCTTTTTATTTGTCTTGGTTATAAATTATTTTGTGTTATTAGTAAAAAAAAAAATTTCATCCGTTTAGGTGTATGTACTGCAAAACCCCAATGTCATTTTTTTTATGATACTCATGTTTTCACCGTTATGATTAATGAACCCCAAATAAGGGTGTATTGACACAAAGGTCAACTTACAAACCTTTTGTCTTTCTTTGTTTTTTCTAACTTATAATCAAAGCTTAGCTAAAGCTAAAAACACGTAGGTGTTGTTTGTTTTTTCGAAATGAAAATGTCTGAAGTCTGCAGCAGAAGAGATGGACAAAAGTGCTGCAAACTGTAATGAGAAACATGTTTGTTTTTTTTAACGACTGCAGATTGCTACACATATTAAAAAAATAAAATAAAATAATTTAATAAACCGATAATAGTTTGTTAATACCAAAAATTTAATAATTGTAATCTTAAAACATTGAAATAAAATTCAAACAACCAAATTAGTCTTACAATAACATTTTTAAATAAAATTCATACAACCAAACTTTAATAATTTTCATTCCATATTTTGCATCAATTGTTCGGCAATTTCATCTCTTAACTGAGTCATATATTCACAATCCGCTGCAGTACCATGTGTTGGAATCTCATCTTCATCATTATCAACGACTGCATTGTTATTCCGAACCGAGACATTTGGTTTGTCATATCGTGCAAAAAACTCATCACGTAGTCCCTCTCTTCTTATAAAATTATGAAGCGCAAAGCATGCTAGGGTAATGTTTCGTTGTGTAACCAATGAGAATGGTGCCATCCTTTTCAATATAGGGAATCGTGCTTTCAAGACACCAAAAGCACGCTCAATGACATTCCGAAGTTTTGCGTGTGCATGGTTAAATTTTTCTTTATTCTTTAATGCACGTCTTCGACGGAAATCTCCAAGCCAATACCTCACATTACGGTACGGTGCCATAAAACCTTGAATGTTTGCATAAGCGGCATCACAAAGATAATATTTATCTGTAAAAAAAAAAAGTCATTTATTTTTTCAAGCTAAAATAAAACTATTTCAATAACCATAAATTTACCTGGTGGTGGAAGCGGGAATGGTGCATGTGGATTTGCTAATGCTTCTGATAAAATTCTAGAATCGTGTGCTATCCCTTCCCAACCGGCCACAACAAACGTAAACATCATGTTGAAGTCACATATTGCCGATACGTTTTGGTAACAATCGCCTTTTTCCCTACTTCTATATAAATCACGTTTTTTTGCAGGGACAACAGCATGTATCAAGGTGCCATCAAGTGCACCAACTGCTCCCTTGAACACCCGTCGTAGCCTCCTATTATGTCCTGGAATGTTTGGATTCGGATTAAAAGAAGTTGGCACTATAATGTCGTGTGCGAAAAGCAGCATTTTGTCCAACACTTCATGAAAAAACTTATGAACTGTTTGCTTTGAGTGTTGAAATCTTCGCTTGATAATCACATAACGTTGGTTATGACCGATCATCATAAAAAACATAGTCATCTTCTCCTCAACCGACACATGTTTGCTATCATTCAACGTGTAGTTTACTCTAAAATGAGCACATAGTCGGACAAATGATTCACGGGACATGCGTAGCACTTCAACACATTGTAGAGGATTACGGTGAAGTAACTCTAACGTAAATTCGTGTCCCGTCATTTCCGAATCGTTGTCCCGCACTCGTTTTACACCCCTTTTCCAAAAGTAGCGTACGTACAAGTACATTAGAATTATGAGTAGTATCTTTTTGTCGTGATCCATTAGGAACCTATTAATCAACACAAGTACCAAATAACATTCAAGTACAATAACCACATACTACAAATAAAAAAATATAAAACTAAAGTACCAAATAACATTCAAGTACCAAATAACCACATACTACAAATAAAAAAATATAAAACTCAAGTACCAAATAACATTCAAGTACCAAATAACCACATACTACAAATAACATCCAAGTACCAAATAACCAAAAAACATAACCACATAGTTCTAACACATGCAATTAAAACCTAAACAATTCAAATATGTAAACTTAATGGACAATCTTTCCATCCTTCAATACTCCTAAACTTGTAGCTGTCATCTCGATCCACCCTCTTAATATTTGTGGATCATTATGCCAATTTACCCACATCTCTCTCATATTCATGGTCCCTCCAAAAATATGATAAGCAGCAAATCGTAGAGGGTCAACCGGGCCTAACTCGAGTAACTCTAGCTTCTCCAAACATTAGGGAATTGTTGGCCCTTGAGTCAAATGTCGTAGAGCTTTCTGCATCTCCAATGCTAAATCATCAGCAGTAATAGAAGCTTTAGGGGAGACACTAGAAGGTGGCTCAAGTGAGGCACTAGCTCGAGGTCTAAGAGTTGAGAGTTTAGCTCTTTTGTTGGGGTTACCAGAAGGTGAAGCAGCAGAAATTGAAGCAGCAGAAGGTGGTGGCTGAGTGGTATGATTGGAAAAGATATCATCCTCATCTATATTAACAGAAGGGGTGTCCATAAGTTGTAGTGGTGTGGCATGGAAAGAAGATGATCCATGTCCCGATGGTGTTTGGGATGTGGCATAGCTGAGATTACCAGAGGTACTATTTCCATCAAAGAGTTCTGCAGAAAGCTCTAGAAACAACAATGGGACAGTTTTCAAAGAAGCGGCTTTTGGATGTCCCTAAACCCAATCAATGTAACAAAAGTAGTATAAGAATAAATGAGAACTATATAAACAGAATACATATTAATATGTGTGTGTGTGTGTGTGTATATATATATATATACATATATATATATACCTTTTTAAAGTCCTCCCACTACTCATTTGTTAGGTTAAAAGTGTTTGTTTGAGGATTGTAAAGGTTGCCAGTTTTGTTTTTCAAGTATAACCATCCTGTGTATTTGGCTTTAAGGTTGTCATAGGCATTTTTCAATTGTCTTTGACTCAAATCCACACCAAACTTTTCCTTAATGGCTGTTCCTTACTTGTTCCATGAATGTTTGTGCAAACTCAAACCTTTTCTACCCACATTTTGTACTTCTTCAATGCAAGTGTTCAATAAGAATTTTGTTTGCTCATTGGTCCATGTATGTTTATCTGCCATTGCTAATAAAAAAAACCATATGGAATACATACTTTAGCACACATGACCTTATACCAACAACTTTCAGCATAATTACAACTTGTAATGATGAACATAATCAATTTCAACAAAGATTATTCATATTTCAGCAACAATTATGACACTTCAGAAACATTTTATGACATTTGAACAATATTTCATGACGTTTCAGCAACAATTTGTGACATTTCAGCAACAATTTGTGACAATTCAGCAACAATTTGTGATATTTCAGCAATAATTAGTGACAATTCAGCAATATTTCATTACAATTAAGCAACAACATATGACATTTTAAGCACAAATTGAAGAAATTGGGGCAAGAACAAAGATTCAAGAACAACTATTTGATATAAGGCATGAACTATTTGATAAGATTAGCACCAACAAGCAAAATCAAAGATTCAACAACAAAAATCAAACAATTAGTATGAAGCATGAACAATGAAGTAAAACACCAATGAAGTTGCACAACAAAAATCGTTCATTGATTATTTTAAATCTGGTTCAAGTTTGATTGTTTGAGATCCCATGTTGTGATAGAGATTCTATTGACAAGCTTTAAAGGTAATCAATTCAGGTTCAAGACACAAACTAGAAGATCAGGTTCAAGACAATCGCTGCCTTCAACAACTAAAAACGAAAAAAAAAAAAAAAAAAAAAAAAAGAACACGAAAACTAACCTGGAAGGACGACCGACGGAAGAGGAGAGGCTGGTGGGGGTTGCGTCGGTGGGTGGTGGCTGCGCCGGTGGTCGCTGGGCTGAGAAGACGCGATGTCGAGTTGAGGTTGGAGAGCTCCTCACGATCGATTTGGAGGTGGCTGCTTTTTTTTTTTTAGGGTTTAGTTTTGAAGAGGTTAGAAGCAATTTTCAAGTGCTGTCTCAAGCAGAGGATGGGAAGAGGTTTTTAATTTCGAAGGCTGCGAAAAAACAAACAACTGCCGAGAAAGAAAGTGTTGCGCGTGTGCTGCGCCGCGCAGCACGAAGAGGTTTGAAGAGGTTTTTAATAAAAAACAAACAAAACCGTAGATTATTTCGTGATCTTCAAAATTAAAACTCATTTGAGCTTGAGTTAAGTTTTGGGATTAGAGTTTAGTAGAGCTCAAGTTTAGCACGATTATGCCCTTATACGAGTCGTGTCCAAGTTTGACATAATAAATAGTTATGATTTTTATTTTTAACCAATAACAAAAATGTAATTATATTTTTAACCCACAACATCAATATCTATGTATTTTGGTTTCTAAACCAAAACAATGAAATATACTTATTTTTAACCAACATAACAATACATTTTTATTTTTAGCCCTAAAAACCAACCTGCTTATATAATATACAAAAACACAAAACACAAAACACAATTTTAGTTTTCACTCGAAACAACAAAATATGTATATTTTTTAACACAAAACTCAACCACTATTCTTTTTAAGCAAAAAAAAAAAAAAAAAAAACAAAAACAAAAACAAAAAAAAACAAAAAAACAAAACGTATATTCATTTTTAACCAAGAACTACCACATATTTTTACTTTTAACCCCAAAGGTCAACGTACATTTAGTTTTACCTAAAATAAAATAATGAAAAAAATTAATCGCCCCCAAAACCTATTCGTTGAAATGACCTATTCGGCCTCGTTGCATCGTGCGGTTACGCTACGAGTATAATGATAATAAATAAAAAACGTGAATGTCCAACGCTCTGATACACAAAATAACTAAAGTATAATCATAAATCAAAAAGAAAAAAATGGTATGATTTTGTGTCAATAACTGCTCACCCGTAATTATATCATCAATACCCTTTATACCAATCTACTTTTGAACATAAAAATCCACATTTTATCAAAACACATCTCTAAACATCTCCTAATAGTTACCCAACTGGAGTTATACTACGACTTTTCCAAATCTTATCAAAATATATTGATTTAGTCGATCATCGGTTAGAATCACCATCATGTTTCTTGCAAATCAAGGGCCTCAACTAATGGTTCATACTCCAAATTCCAATGCTTCAAGTCAAATTTTTTTTAAAACTTTTTGGCACTTTTAGCTCTTTTTTCTTCTGTGCTTGACATATTTTTTATTTTTTTCACATTTCTCACACATAATTCCTTTTTAGTTAATCACACCTTTTGACGTGAGTACCAAGATGGCAGACACAAGTAGCCGCGTGTAAAACACCTTTTGACGTGAGTACCAAGATGGCAGACACAAGTAGCCGCGTTTACTTTACAGGTTAACTATCAACATGTGTGAAGGCGTATCATCATTTATGTCACCGTTTTATTTGAGTACCAAGAATGGGTATACAATGTAAGCATGATTTATTAGGAAATAATATATAGGATTATAGTTTCTGAGAAGGTATCTAAGGAAAAGAGATCAAGTGAATTCAATACTTTCCCTCTAAGCCCAAAATGTGTAGTCAACAGCAAGACCAAGTACCTCGTTGCATGGTTTTTCAAGCTAGGCCTTTACTTGGGAAAGACGTCTTAGAATGGACTAATATGTTTAACTGCATTAATGTTACTCATAATGGTCGTTGTCTCTTTCTTTCACAAGCCTAATAAGAGAAAGACATATTGGAATGAGCCAACATGTCTAAATGAAACCTTGTCACTACTCTAACCGATACTTCATGCAAGCTCAACACTAATATTGGACAACCTCTTTGAGATGATATCCTCTTATCATGTGCTCGTTGGGGCTCTTGAATATCTCATTTTTATGACACTAGACATCGTGTATGTCATTCAACATATCTATTTATTTATACATGTATTAAAGGAACTCCGTTTCAACGTCTTCAAACATATTTTATGCTATCCAAATTGTACATTGACCAAGGTCTATGCATCTTTGTGTCCATGTACCTTCATGTTAGAAGTTAGCTAAGAAATCATTTCCTCAAACTACATGTATCCCGATACACAATCAATCATAGTTTATTTTCATAATATTTATGTTCTATATATCTCTGATAATCTTAAACAACGACATACTTAATAAACTGAAACTGAAATATATGTAGTTTTAGAACTTGTTTATATTGGAAGAGTTAGTTATATTTTTGTTCCAACAAATCATCAATTTGTAGATATAATAACTAAAGGTCTACCAACACTAGTCTTTCAACGTTTAAATTCAATTTTGTGCATTCGTTCTGCTCTCATTGAAACCTGTCACACCCCGAATCGTCAGAAATAACGGTGGAAACGTCCGGGGGTAGGTGACGTCATGTATAGTATCACAACAATCGTATCATAGAAATCAAAGTACACACAACCATTACATTACAATATGAATATTTACATATGTTTGAAAATATAGTTTGTATACATCAAAAGTAGCAAAAGATAAAGACAAAACTCCAAAATGCTCCGTCTTCTCCGAAAGCTAACAAAGGTACATGTGTATTGTTGTCCTGAGAGTACAAGTGGTTTTGAAAATGTATCAGCATAAATCTGGTGAGTTCATAAGCATGTTTTCGTATTGAAAAATAGTTACTGAATTTGTATAAATGATTTCTTTTCATTATAAGTAAAATGTCATTTGTATTGAAACCCTGGTCAATCACTAGTAAGTAAAATGTATTATGTTTGAAAGCACATGCTACAACCAGTATGTGATGTGTGTTATGTTTGAAAACCATGGTTACCATCAGTAAATGATGTGTGTTATGTTGAAAACCCTAGCTACCACTAGTAAATGATGTATGTTCTGTTGAAAACCCTGGCCATCACCAGTTTGTAAGGTGGTTTTATTACCTAAAATAAAACAAAAGGTTGTGTCCCTTGAATACCCTCCAGTGTAGTATGTAGGTAGTCTTATTAATTAAAATAAAACTATTGAAGAAGGAAAATCGGGTAAAGAAAGGTTAGCTATACTATTGTGAGTTCATATAGCCATGTTAATGTGACTGATGACCTCAGCGACGTTTCTTCAGGCATCGTATGTTACAAAATTTGTCACCCCAGGCGTGCCTGCCTACCTATAGCTGACAGTCCAGGTGTGGGATTGTTGATCCCAAATAGATCTATTCACAAATTTCACACTCTCCCTCTAGGAGACTTTGGCTATACTAAATGTAAAGGATTTGCTAGTACCTCGAAGGGTATAATGAAGAGATGTCTCACAATCCTGTATTAACTAGTTTACGTGTTGTTCTGCTGTTCTCGTGTTCGAAATCATTTGTATATGGTGTAGAGTATAAATAATTATACGCAAAATAATTATTTAGTAAGATACTCTTGTTATCTAGATGTAATAATGGATAAATTAAATATGTCATAGTTTATATGTTTGACTTTGTAAGTAGTTTGAATCTGTAAAACCGGTAATGAAATCCCCAAACTATACCTATTATAGTTTGACTGTTTTGTTATGTTCATGTACTGTTCTGAAAACTATGCAGTTTTGTTTAGAAAATGTCCCTTATGCTCCGCATATTACAAAAGGGATAAAGTATCTAAATGTTTGATGTAAAACTGTTGTAATTACATCATTTTTAAGTTGTGAAAACCTTTATGTTTGGCTTGTATCCCCCCTGAAAACGTTCAAAAACTATAAAAGCGTAGGGGCATGAACTCACAGTTGGTTGGATGCAAAGGATTGAACTGGACGATCCTTGAGTTGATATACGTTGCACTTACGGAATCCTAATATCACATAAATACATATATGTATCTAAATTAGCGATTTCGTTAGATAAAGTGTTACATAAACACTTGGTTTTGGTTAAGGAATGTTACCGGAACTTGGTTGAATCGAGATAAACAGGCTTTTCCCCAAGAAAGAGCTGTTTATGGCCGTATATGGAGTTCACGGCCGTGAATAGAGTTTACGGCCGAGAACCGGGTTTACGGCCGTGAACAGGGTTTATGGATTTTGAAGATCTCGGAGAT